TATCCTATCCTATCCTATCCTATCCTATCCTATCCTATCCTATCCTAGATTATTGCTGGTATAACCATGGCATTAAAAGTGTCCACTCTTGCTTTGGAGTCTCCCATTTGTTGTGGTATTATTTTTATGTATTTAAAGCTTCACCCTGATATCCATTGGCCAGTCTGATCTCAGTGTGGAGCTTATTCCATAAAGTTGGTGCTGCTACAGAGAACCAGTGCTTTCTAACTTTGGCTCCCATGACATCCCAGAAATGTGGGACAATGAAGAGCCCCTCCCCACATGATCTAACAGGCCAGGCCGAATCCAGTTGAAGGAGGCAGTCCCTTAGGTACCCAGGTGCCAACCCATGAAGGGCTTTATAAGTTAATGCCCGCACTTCGAATTGTACTGAGAACTGAATCAGTAACAGTGCAAGTTCCACAATATAGGTATAATATTGTCCTGTCCCAGTGTCTGGAGGCTGTGGAGGCCTGGATGGGGTACAACAGGCTCCAGCTCAACCCAAGCAAGACTGAGTGGCTTTGGGTGTTTGATCTTCTGGTGCCGGGGACTTTCCATCATTGGTCTTGGATGAGGTAGCACTGCCTCAGACAGACCAGTGTCCAATCTGGAGGTCCTCCTGGACTCAACAGCTCCTGTTCAAAGAGCAGGTGGCAGCCGTGGTTAGGAAGCGTTTCCTGGACCAGGAGACATGGCTCACTGTCACTCAGGCTCTTGTGACCTCCCATCTGCTACATGGGGTTGCCCTTGAAGAGCATTTGGAAGCTTCAACTGGTTCAGAATGCTACAGCACAGGTAGTAAACGGCGCCGGTTACTTGATGCGTGTAACATTTCTACTCCGTGAGCTGCATTGGTTGCCAGTGTGCCCCAGGTGCAATTAAAGGTGCTAGCTGTCACCTTTAAAGCCCTTCATGGCTTGGGACCAAGTTACTTGAGAGACCAACTTTCCTCAGTTGTTTCTACCTGTCCAATCCAGTCAGGCAGGATGGGCATGCTTTGGGTCCCATCAGCTAAGGAATGCTGGTTGGCGGAGCCTAGAAGACACGCCTTTTCTACCATAGCATCCACCCTATGGAACATTCTCTCTCCGGGGATCAGGATGGCCCAACCCTGTTGGCTTTTTTAAAGTCCTTAAACACCTGGGGGCAGGGCCTGGGGCCCCGAGTGTGTGCAGGGACCTGTTTTGTGGTTAATTTAGTCATTATGATGTGTGCTTTATTCTCAGCTGCTATGTATTTTAATGTTTGTATTATTTTAATTGTTTTAATTTTTTAAGAAAATTATTTGCCGCCCAGAGTCACTTGGGCTAGTATGGGTGGCCATGCTAGCTAGCTAGCTAAATAGACAGATAGCTCCCAACATTAGGAGCCACTTAAGATATAGGCCACCACATTCTGGACTAACTGTAATTATGGGGTAATCTTTAAAGGTAGGTCCATGTAAAGTGCATTGCAGTAATTTGTGCAAGTGGTGATGAGAGCATGAGTTACTAATGCTAGGTCCTCCTGTAGCAGGTAAGGACACAATTGATGCACCAGGTTGTGGCAGAGGATAGTCTAGACAGCATCCTATACACCTTCTCAGAGCTCACAGACAAAAACAATCCTAGATAATAGGGCAACATTATACTCTGGTGACCACTATAGACTCTATCCATGCAGAGTCAAGACTGCAGTGAATCTGAACGACTTTTTTACCTAATTGCTGTGCAAACTGGTCACAGTGGCTGGGCAGGATAACTGATGGCTCCTCCCTAAAATGGAGTTAGTAATCTTATACTGGGCCACTGGACAACAGTCCACTGATGCAATAAGAAAGAAATCCACCTCACCTTCTTTACTGCCATGGAGTGGGCTCAAACATGGGAACATATTATATTTAGCTGCAAAAAATCTGAACCTCTAGATTGCAACAAAGAGTTACAGAAAAAGAAACTCTTTACTGCCATCTATTGATCATCCATATTTTACCCCACACCTATTATAGACCACACTATATTGTAGTCCTCACCTGACAGTTTTAATCCATATAATAAAGCATGTATGAAAAGGAAAAGAACTGAGAAAAGATGTATGATTTTCACAGAAATCAAAGGCTTCAGTCATGGGTTACAATCTCAAAGAAGTAGCACTTCTTCCCTGAATGTAAATAATATTTTATTACAGATACCAACTAAAGTAAAACCTAAAAGAATTAAAGCTAAGCAACCTCTAACCTCAGTAATAACATTGAACTATATCCTTTTAATGATCTCTTTGTAGGCATCATATCTTATTCTTCTAATAACAGCCACTTTCATATTCATAGAATTATACTGGAAGGTCTTCTGGTTTCATTTTTTGTAAATGAAGTAAGTTAAACTCTTAGTAACTACCCTAAAATTAAAAAAAAATGTTTCTATTTTTATTCAAATGTTCATCCTTTATATCACTTTCAGGTCGTATATCTTTCTTTTAGCCACCTTTATAAAAGGATGCACCAAAAGTCAGACCCCACAGAGAATTTATTATATAAATTACATTA